AAATGGCCTTGGGGAAAGTGACCTTCCCAAGAGCTCATCCAAGTGCATAGAAAAGATGCTCTTTAGCCTGATGTCAAGTAGGTATTGAGATATGGGCGAGAAAGACATCGACATCATTTACTCTCTGCACTTGACTGAACTAACTAGTCTGTACTGCAAAGAGGGCTTACGTACTAAAGGCACACATGCAGATTTTGGCTGATACAGCATTTGTTTCCTTGCACATTTTGCTTGTTAAATTAAAAGAATATTTTCATCTTCCACAACCCAGCTTATCTTTAGTAAATAAGCAAACTCTGGAGGGGAAGAACAGAGGAGGAAAAAAAAAAAAAACACATGGACCAGAGGGGTAAACATAGTTTATCCATAGGGTAATTATTCATAATATTGAGCTCTTTAAAAATGCTTATGTGAAAACAAACAAAAAAAAAAATCAAGGCCACCTTCCTTCTAGTCTTGGGCCCAGAAAGCAGCAATTAAAAAAAATAAACAAACAAAAATCTGGCCCTTTGCTATTTGGTATGAAGTCCACAGAGCTCAACACTATGTAAGCATCTCAATCTTAATGGCTTTTCACCAATAAAATCAGTAAGTGTTTAACCTTGCATGGGTGCCATCACAGAACTTATAAAATGCTATAGTGCCATAAATACATTTCTTTAAATAATATGCATCTTGAGTTTTCAGTTTTCTCCAAAGTGTTAGCAGTCAAGCTTCTTCTAAGAGTTCCACCTGCAAGAGAAGAAAACAATTCTAAAAAGAGGTATAAGTAGCAAAATTAGTTTTAGGATGAACAGGTCAACTAATAAGTCAGAAGATGCTCTGAAACAGAAAAACGTCTTTTTGTGTTCAAACTGGAAAGAAATTACACAAGCTCCTCTAGAATTCCAATTCAATTACACAATACGGTGCCCACGCATTACAAATTTCAGGATGCAAAGCCTGAAGGACAGAAACTACAGTTTCAACTGGCAATCGTGAAAAGGATGGGTAAACATATGGATGCAAACTGACAAATCACATCACAACGCAAAGGTCACAACTTTGAAAGAGATGCTAAGATTTGAAAGTGTTACACAAACTCAGTGCACAAGTACACTGTTTTTGTTTATTTATTAGCTTACGATGGAAGTGCCAGAGTTCAAATTAAAATTTAGACTTCAAGTATTACCTGCATACCTACTTCTGCTTTTTAACATGCCACTAAACATATTTTAAATAAATTAAACTGATGAAATTGAGTCCACTGAGAACATGGACCTCAAACAGAGGGAAGACATGCTCCAACTTAAAAAGATGCAGTCAACATGGCACTAGGGTAAGCTGAAACACTGCAGAGCTCATTTCAAGAAAATGCTAAAAACATGTCACTTTGGGGAAGAAAGAAACCCTGAACTTAGGAGCAGCAGCAAGAAACTAGAAATATTACTTCATACAGGAACCACCCAACTCAGGAATTCCATACCACACAAGTATTCCCAGTAACAGGGCTTAAAGTCAGGACACAAAGCTTCACCTGGCACAAATCTACGGCCTCCAAAGGCCAGAACAATCCTTTTGTGGAAGGAGTTAACAATACATTTAGGCCTCCCTTCTTCCACTACATCTGACAATCTGATACAATAATTTAACAGACATCTGAAATAAGGAATTGAAGCAAGAGTCTAATATTTTTATCTCTTTATATATGAACAGCTTTTTCATGCCAGTATAGATAAAAACTGACTTTGAACCACAACAGGTTCACAATAGAGAACGCTATTTTAGCCTCTTAAGCAAGATTTGTTTGTTTTCTGTAGCACACAGCAAGCAGCCCCAGCTACTTTTCCAGATTTACAAAATAGTTGTGGCTGGACACGAGAGACCTTTATAAGAGATTTTACTGAGCTCATTCTTTGCTATTAGAAAATTTGTTTTCAGAAAGGGCAACATTTTAAATCCTAAGGGAGACTTCTACAATAAAAAAATGCCATAGATAGACTTTTTTTTTTTATACCTATACTATTATATATCTCTAGAGAACAGATTATTTTTAGATTAAAAAAGTAACAGTTCAAGTTTAGAGATCAAATTTTAGACAATTACAGGGAACAGCTTTCTTTTATTTAGGAAATTAAAGAGTAAATTAGAAACAAAGCTAAAGTACAAAACATTATTTTAAAATATAAAATTTTCAAAATTAGATTTTTATCAAAGTGCACTAGAACTAACTATTCATATATGCCCTTTTCTCTTGTTTAAAGGGGAGACAATCAGACTGCCTTTAAGTCAGAGAACGTGTTACTAAGAGTCTGATCATGCCTACCATGGGAGATATAGAAAGGAGGAAAAAAAAAAAAAAAAACAGAAGTAACAATTCAGCTGTACAACAGGAATGACAAAGCAGCCAGCGCTGAAATAATTTATCTCCTATTTCATTTAGCTAACACTGATTTTTAAAGGGAAGAAAAAAGTAATTTCAAAAAAAAAGAAAAACTGAGCATCAGAACATAATTCTGAATCAGAAAACAAGAATAAGGTTTTTGTTTGCCTTTTACTGACACCTATAGATCCTTCACAGATTCCTGAGCAGTGCAATGCGATAGCAGCCTCTAGAAAGCTATGATTTGCCAAAACCTGCCACAGAATAAGCAAAAACAAAAAAATCTAAACACCATGTACCTTTCAAGTCTAACACCTATCTCCAAAGGCAGGGTCAACGTAGTAACATCGGCTTTGCAAGCATTTGTCTGTTCCGGTCTTACAAACGTCCAGCACTAAAGATGCCACAGCTTGTTCTTAGCTTCCTAAGTCTTCACATTTAAAGTCCATCCTCAGACAGTTTAACCTACTATTTACCTTCTCATCCAGTGAGCAAAGCATATAATTTACTACCTCTCCCCCTGCACCTTTTGCAACACGTGGAAACTGAGCACTCCACACAATGGTTCTCTATGGCAACGGTTCCAAAACACGAGGGTATCACTTAACGGTTAGGCACAGAGTCCAGACAAACGCACTCTTAGTAAACAGTCATCTCTGGGCTGCCAACAGAGGGTGAGGGGAAGCATCCCACGGCTTAGCAAAGTAGCTTGCTCCTTTGTCTTCCTTTTTAAATCGAGAGAATTTTAGAATGTTTTCTCAATGATTACCAAAGCATATAAGGAAAAAAAAAAAAAAAAAAAAAAAGGCCTCATCTTCCATCTTGGCCTTTCAGAATTTAACTTCAAGACACTCAAAGGTTTTGGCTTTTTGTTTCTGTTTTTTTTTAATATCATATTTAATTTCCACTTGTGTGCTTCCTTATATTTGAGGTTACTGAGAGCTGAGAGGTTGAAACTGGGCTGACGCGATACAACACTTTAACCTCCTTCATTGGGAGACTTGTTACTGTGCACTTAGTACACTTTCTTAAAGTCTTCTTAAAGCCTTTATTTTGTTACTTCCAGAATTCCTTCCTTCCCCAAGGGTCAGGCTTTCTATTTTGTATCACATTCATGTAAAATTGCCTTTCCCCTTCAGATTAGCGGTCAGTTTCTTGTCTTGATTTAGAAACAAATCATATTACCTTATAGAGTTATTACTTGCATTCTTAATAAAATAATCAAACAAGGGGAAAAAAAAAAAAAGGTCAGGAGCACATCTCAAAAGCAAGCTGTACAGTATGCCCTCCTGCATTCTTTTTCAACATATTTAATAGGGTACTTCAAGCAATTCACTAAAGTTTAATGAAAGAAAACCCCACTCTCCTCACCTTCCTGACTTAGGGACTAGAATAGATCATTGTCTTAGGAGCACTCGCGTCTTCCTCCCTACTTATTAGTCAAAGCTCCACTGACCTATCAGAGAAATCTCTAGCGAGCAGTCACCTGATGCAAGCACAAAGTACTGTGCAGCAAGCTAAGAAAGAAGCACTGTAGTTATGCCAGTAATCCAGCTGTCAGCAGTATTTGTTTCTTCTGGATAGCAAACACATATTGCTACTAACAGCTGAATTACAATTTACTGTGAAAAAATTAGTAAGTAGATGCTTTGTTTCTTGGACTGCCAAAGCCACCTCCAATAAGTAGTTTTTATTTCAACATCTATCCTTAATTATAAAGTCTAAATGAACGTTTAGATAAGAACTAGGAGGATATTTTTATCCCTTTACCAATTTATTATTAACAGAATGATCAAATATATATTTTGCAGACTTTTGTAGCAACTTCTGCAACTGAATGAATTTTCACACAGAACAGACGTTTTCAAGCTCTTTTCTCTTTGCCGACTACGTTAATCTCTTTCATCACATTCCACTTTCAATATTAGTTTTTAATATTTGTTACCTGCAGTTTACTCTGAGCTTCTTCTCTCTTGTATTCCCTGTTTCACAGGTGTAGCAGGTGCTTCTCTCGATTCCTGTTTTGCAGGCGTAACAGGCATATCACCATTGACACTCTCCACACCGGTAACAGACATCAAGCTTTTCCGCTCTTTGGAATTAGATTTGTGCTCCACTTTTGTGACTCTAAATCTGAGGAGAGCAAGAGAAAGATTCAGTTATATTTTCCTAGAGAGACTACCTAAAATCATTCTCAGTATCCAGCGCGTGGAGAGAAACAGACTTTTAGAGAGCAGCATCCCAAGGTCCAAACGTCAGAGCACATACCTATTGGGGCCCAGTTTCACTTAAAGAAATTGATAAAGAGCCACAGCTATCCTTATTGCCTTAGCTGGTAAGCAAGGGCACATGTAAGCTGCTAAACTATGACAGAAAAAAGAAAAAGAAAAAACAAAAAAGCGAGTTCTAGTTGATACCACGTAGGTCTTTGCCGGCCACTTTGTGACCCTAACTACATGTCTGTCTCAACTTGTCATTGTATTAGCAATAAATAAGGTATTCTCTGCACTAATAATTTGTACATAAAATTCTGCTTTTAAGTCTCTTCAACCAGTAAGAGTTACTTAAATAAAAATGACTTAAAAATGTGAGGTACAAACACACATTTCAGAAGGAGAAAAGGGAGAGTAAAAAGAAAAGCGCTGCTTCATTTCCAGGTTTTCACAATGCAAGACCCACTGTCCCCCTTCTCCTTCAGCAGTACCAGAACTTGGGAAAAGACCTCCAGTAACTGTGCAAGCAGCAGGAAGGCTGCTAGGCCAGAGGGAGCCAAGTCCTGCGACACAGAGAGGACACTTCTGAACAGTATTCCTTCGTATTACCTATGCATGCT